CGTTTTTTAGTCCTTGCTTACTCTAGGTGTATAAATAATTAACTAGTAATAATTACCTCTTCTTATAGTCCTTACTAATCTATAGTTTAGATAATAAAGTTAACCTATATAGTTAATAGTAAAGTTAACTACTAATTAGTGTTAATAACACTAAGGGATAGGTTAATATAGTTAACTATATATATTAGTAGTAATTAATAAATAATAGAGGGTAACTATAGTTCTCTATTATATATAAAGAAAAGAAGGATAATTATTATAGGTTAGTTAGTTAAATAACTAACTTATTGCCTATAAATCCTCAGAGAATCTATAGCTAAATATCCAAGGATTTACTAGCAATAAGTCATTAGGGTTAATCTAATAACTCTAATATTTATCTACAATAGTCAATATTACAACAAAAAGCTTAGTAAAAAAAAATAATATAAATAAAAAAATAAAGTAAAAAATAATAATAATAAAGCTTATAGGATATTATAATAATAAAAAATTATAGATTTATAATAATAAAAATTTACTAAAGGGTTACTAAGTAAAAGAGAAAAAAAGAAAAGTAAATAAAAGACTAATAAAAGAAAACTTTTTACTTAAGTAACTACTAAGTAAAAAGAAAATAAGCTAGGTAACTAGTTATATTATATTTATCTTTATATAACTATTTTATTTAATAACTTATAGCCTAGTAACTATTTACTAGTATATTACTAAATAAAAATATAAAGTACACTTAACTAAATAATAATAATAAAGCTACTATATTCTAGAATAATAAGGCCTTTTAGTAAAAGTAATAAAAAAAAGTCTATAAAGTTATTTTAAATAAAGAAAAGAACTATAACTATATATTATTATTATTTCTTTAAAGGGTATTATATAATAACTTTAAGATAAAGTCTAAAGAGGAAAAAAGTAATTATAATAGGATTTATAGTAATAGCTATAGGTCTTAGTAATAGGTTACTAAGCCTTTAGTGCTTTACCTTACTATCTAGTTTTTTAGTAGTAGAGCCCCTATTATCTAGGCTCTATAAGCTTAAGTCTTATAATATACTAATACCTACTATTAAGCCTTACCTAGTTAAGTGCCTATAGCTATTATCTTATATATTTTACTTATTATAATAGATTATTAGTATAAGATTATAGTAAAAGTATTTATTAAGGTAGTTTTTAGTCTTTACTTACTCTAGGTATATAAATAATTAACTAGTAATAATTACTTTTTTTATAAACCTTAATAACCTATAGTTTAAATAGTAAAGTTAACCTATATAGTTAATAGTAAAGTTAGTTAACTACTAATTAGTATTAGTAATACTAAAGGATAAGTTAATATAGTTAACTATATATATTAGTAGTAATTAATAAATAATTAAGGTAACTATAGTCTTTATTATATATAAAGAAAAAAAAGATAATTATTATAGGTTAGCTTGTTAAATAACTAACTTATTACCTATAAATTCTTAGTAGATCTATAGTAAATTATCTAAGAATTTACTAGTAGTAAGTTATTAAGGTTAATCTAATAACTCTAATATTTATCTATAATAGTTAATATAATAATATTTACATTTTATAATAATATATAGAGGTATTACTTAGCTATTTATATATATACTTTAAATAATAAAAACCTATCTTTTATTACTAGGCTACTTTATATAAGACCTTTCTCTATAATTAAGAGTTATAATAATATTTATATATAATAGTATTTTTATTAAAACCCTAGTCTTATTATAATTATAAATATTATTATCTTATATCTTGTACTTTATAATTATATTTTATATAAGTATTAACTAGCCTTATATAATTCTAAGATTATTTACTAAGGCCTTCCAATAGTTAATTTAATATTAAAATATATTTTTAAATATAGTTATTATTATATTATATTCTTTACTTATTAAGGTCTTATATATATTATATTATATTATATATATATAAGAGCTAGCTAGTTATACCTTATATATTTTTCTATTATTAAAAAACCTTTAATTAATTAAGTTAATAATCTTTTTAATAATTACTTTCTCTTTAGATCTAGTTATCTTTCTTAACTTTAAAGATATCTTATCTTATATAATATATCTAGTGTATTAGTATTAAAGTATTAGTTAAAGAACCTTATAAGCAAAGGCTACTTTTTATATAGATACTTCTTGGTCTTTTTAAATAGCTTAGAGAGTAAACATAATATAGCTTTTAATTAAAGACGAATTTATATTTATATATAGAGAAATATTAGTGTAAAGTTTAAAAATATATAAGGTAGAAAAAGTAGCTTACTTACTATATTAACTTGCTTACTATATATATATACTATAGGTCTTAGTAATAGATTACTAAGCCTCTATTAGACTTACTTTACTATCTAGTCTTTTAGTAGGAAAGCCTTATTATTCTAGCTTTATAAGCTTAAGTCTTATAATACACTAATACTTACTATTAAGCCTTGCCTAGTTAAGTGCCCTTAGCTATTATCTTATAAATTAGCCTACGTCTTATTTAGTAATAGTACTTATACTCTCTACCTAGTGTCTTAGCCTTATAGAGTATTAGTATAATTAAGTTCTTTATATATAATAAACTTAAACTACTTATATAATAAAGTCTAATTAGCTTATACTTATAGTATTATTAAACTAGTAGTAGTATAGTATTTTATAAGATACTTTTAACTACTAATAACTATAGAAATCTTTTATTTAATTATATATAAAAGTAGTTTATCTTTTACTTAATATATAGTTTTTACTAGTTTATAGAAATCTAACTAAGCTAGAAGTTAAAATATTATAAGTACTTAAATAAAATATTTACTACTTATTTTATTTTTAGTTATATTTTTAAGTCTAGAGTATTATAGTATAAAAGTTTATATAATAGTTAGAATATAGTAGCCTAGATACAGAGATAGCTTAAATATAGTATAAAAGAGTTAGCTACTTACTTTTATAATTATTAGTAATTTATTAAATATATAACATCTTTTATATCTCTGTTATTAGTTAGGTAATAACTAGAAATAAAATAAATAAGTAAATAAGTAAGAAAAACTATATAACAGTAAGCAAAAGTATATAGTTAGAGATTACTTATAAACTAGAAAGGTTATATAAGGGGGCATATAAAATAGGGGTACTTTAACGTATCAGGTAGGTTAATGCAGGAGGGGTAGGTGTAGCAATACCTCTATAGTTACATGCGCTACCTGCAGACATGTACCTGCTAGCCTGCCTGCCTACATGTGCGATGTACTCTGTACCTACACCCCGATTCTTGTGATAGCCATCTGCTGCTGACTCAGATATAGCCAGTCGCGTCTGCTGCTGACTCAGTCATGACTAGGTACCTACAAGTAGGTGCGGGACCGACGGGCGCACAGGCACAGGGTAAGTTTCGGTGTGCAAAATAGGCAGGCTACATGTTGATAAGCTGGCATAGATGAAAGTGCACGGCGATACCTGGGGCTAAGGAAGGGCGAAAGGAGCCCCCCAGGCAAACAAGAGGAGACGTTGTCGTCCTCGGCATCTTCCTCGTCGTCAGGGCGGCTGCTCAATCGGTTCTTAACATGCACCCAGGGGTAGATAACTGGTCAGGCAGTCATCAGTAGGACAGAAGTACAGCAGTACAGGAGTTGCCCTGGAGAGCAGCTAAGCCGTTCTTTGTGACCGCCTGTAATAACCTCAAGTGGACTTATGAGCGGGCGTAGGATCTAGCCGCTGGTGTTTGTTAATTGATTTCCGAGGTGTAGTGTTATCATCCCTCATTGCATCTAATCTTGTACTTTCGATGGGAATACAGCCGCGCGGGATGGTTGCATGTGGAAATCACAAAGGAAAGGCCAAGGTGGACGCGTCGCTTTAATGCCTTGCCGTACGTAGTAAGCCGTCTGCCGCCGGTAGCGAGAGAAGAGATGGTCTTGGTGCACTTGGTCACGAGCCTGAAGTGTCGCGCGCGGCTTTGCGATGCAAGACACGGGGGATTAATTGGCCGTAGTCCTTGGTTTGGCGCATCAGGAGGGAGTGTCAAGAGCATTAGGTGTGGCGGTCGTGGTCTCATGATGGGTTTGCAATAGAAGCAAGCAGCAGCATACACAGTGCCAGTACAGTTGAGGGACTGGAGAGGGTCTGTTATCTATAGCCAATCAGATCTTGCAAAACCCTCTTGTAAGGCCTAAAAGGGCCTTACAGAATTCGTGTGGCCTTAGAGGGCAGGCCTGGCCTTACATATGGAAATATTCGGGGCTGTGACGCAAACATATTACATCATAACACCTTCTTCACGCATCAATAGTGCGCCCTTTCCTGGTGCCCTGGCCACTGTCCTGGCTTTGGCGTGCACATGTATGGTTCATCTCCCTCTGCGACCGTTCTCTCATGTGGCCGCTTCGGCATGGCGTGTGTAGCTGCAGGTGCTGAAACGGGTGTTGTTCTATTGGGTAGATTGAGCAGGCAATGCTCTCTCTTTGAGGTCGCCTACGGGGGCTGCAGGACCATATCTTCCATCCTGGCCCCTTTATTCGGCGTCTGAGAGATTAGCCTAATACATATGGAATGGGAATAGCACATGCTGCAACTGGAAACTGAAAGGCAAGTGCGCAGCGTGACAATCCCCGACCGCCTTCTGAGTTAGTGCGTCACGATGGCTTCACAGACGGCACTTGCCTCGCTTCGATAGGCACGTCGCGTCGTCACCTCGACTCTGCCGACATGTCTCCGACATCTCAAACCACGGCAATATCTCCTTGACCTTGACCAGACCCCCAACTTCTATCCCGCACGTACGGATACTCCGAACCTTGTCCTCTTCGCTCATTTTGGTGTTTTCCCTTCTGTTTCTTTTTCCTTTCCACTCCCGACTATCCATCCCCAATTGTCACATCAGCAATTCCACAGATACTATACGTTTCCGCCATTCCAGCCTGTCGATAATCGCAATACCTGCTCGGCGAAAAGAGGCCGGGTGACTCAATCGTTTTGCAAACCATGCCGAGGCTTGTCCCTGCCGAAGAGCTGAAAGCCAGAAAAAGTCCCCTCCGTCCTCTACATAGCCTTCGCCTTTTACGCCCACGTGCCGTCATACCACCAACAGACGAGCCGTCGACGTCGCCATCTCCCCCAAGTCTTTCCTCGAGGAAAACTCACAAGTCGACCAGGGCAAGGGCAGCCGACAAGCAAGCTCCACCGACAGGTGATCCAGTGCGTCTCTCTCGTCCAAGCGACAGACCCCCTTGTTTCCCGCTTCATCTTGGTTGATTTCTCGCCTGTCCTTTTTTAATATAAGCTACCTGACCACCATTCGTGCTTCCAGGTACGCGTCTACTTCAACCGTCTCATCGACCTCGAACCATCATCTCACTCCGACATTGTCGACCACGTCAAAACCTCCCTCGCCCAAGGTGACGCAACGGATGATAACGCGTTGGCCGTCACAGTTGCGAAACAAGGCGCAAAGATTCAAGTCGCACACAAGATTGTCGAAGGCGGGCTGACCAGCCCTCAGCGCCTCGACGTTCATCGGCATCGAAAAGCCTTGCAACACTCTAGACAAGCCGAGGAGCGCAAGAGGCAGCAGCTCACGTATCTCGACACGCAATGGAAGGAAAGGCGGCTCTGGCTGCCTGAAAAATACCATCCTAAACTCGAGCCCGGTCAAAGCGTTACGCTTAGCATCCATCAGGTAACCTCCACGGCAATTCAACACAGCATCCCCTTACAGTCTCTGTGGGCACCAGGCGGTGTCCTATACGAATCAACCCAGCCTGACGCCGGTGGGAAGCTCATATTGCGCTCGCGGGCTCTCTATTCCAACGTCCGGGCTTTTCTTGCTCGATACCAATCCCCAGTCGAGCATAACCAGCTTCGAGACGAGCATCAAGCCCAAGACATCCAGCCCAAAAACATCCAGCCTCGGGAAACGCAACCCCAAAGTATCCCATCCCAAGTCATCCCACCACACGACATCCAGCCTCAACAAACCTCGTCTCAAGACGCTACTCCTCAAGATATTCAGCAGCCTCAAAAATACGGCGAGGCCCCAGCCCATGACGGGTCTCCAAGCCAAGGCAGCCCACCGACCGATCACCAACCTTTGGCTGACCAAGTGGTGAGTTGCGCTCTGAAGACTATGCGCAGAGCATCCAACAACCTGTCCAAGCCGGCCTTCTCACTAATTCAACCCAGCACGACTTCTTCGACGAGACGGTGTGCTCCCCCATTACTTGCCATCAAGCGACCCCCGAAACCTGCCGCAAACTCGAGGAACCTCTTTTCGAGGCCAGCCCTGACGGCTGGATCTTGGGGAGCGCGGCCGACCAGGAACAAGACGAAACGCCCGGTTCAGTAGCCAACGACGACGTGACGACACCGATCGACAACCGACTCCAGCCATCTCAAGAGCCTCAAGACGTCGGTTCCGACGACGACCTATCGGAAAACGAACTGCCCCCCTTTGAAACGAGTGCCCTCCCCAGCTCTGACCTAAAACACATCATACTCGCATCAGGCGACGAAATCATGGACCGGGATCCTCCTCGGAAAACGACAAACGCCGGTTGGTCCCCGCCAGATATGGCCATGGCTCTTTCCACTGCTCACAGGGAGTTGGAAAGCTTCGATGCCCGTCTGACGGGGGATACACTGTGGGCCGTCTTCCACATCCTCAAGAGCCAGTTTTGCCGCGATGACGAGACAATAGTCTTAGATCCTTTGCAGATCCACATTGAAGAAGACGGGAACTGCCCGTCGAGACTCCCCACGCTCACGATCGGACGGGTGAGCCACGTCTACGCCGCTGTCCACCACTCATGTGCTGGTGGGCACTGGAGCTTGGTGCATCTGGCTCTCTCCAAGATGCACCCCACAAACGTTGAGGTTTTCCATTACGATCCGTTCCCAAGCCCCGCGCGCCATAGCCGCGTCAAAAACGCCTTCAAAAACATGCTCTGCACTGCGGTGCCTAGCTGCCAACCCGGTTTCAGAGCCATGGTGAGCCTAGCCCGCCCCTGTTCGGGATTCGGTGAACAAGCCGCTTGCGAAATACTGACACATGTTGTGCCTTGCCAGGAATGCGCTACGCAACGCGACAGCGTCAGTTGCGGGATCTTTGTTGCTGCATACTTGAAACATTTGCTATTGAAGGAGCCGGCACCTACAACATTGGACCCTGTTGCCGAAAGGGAACGCCTGCAAAGCCTCCTCTCAGAAGTTGCCGACGCTCGGCCCTAGAAGCGCCAAAGAAACGATGAAGGAACCGAAAGACTGGAGCCTCCCTCGTTTGGCGACCTCAAGCGCCAGATGCTCTGCATTGTCGACCAGCACAAGGTCGACGGAGACAAGATAGCTCAAGTTGGAAAAGCCCTTGCTGTACACAAGGACAAGCTCCTGGTCATGCAAGCTGCCGAGGCAAGGGCAAAGGATCTTGTTACCAAGCTACGGCTGGACCTCCAAGGGGCGATGGATCAGCAGGTTATGTCAAACTACTACGACACCGTTCTGAAAGCCGCAGACCAAGGAGTCACAACGTGCAGCAATGAGACGATGAGGACGCTAGTCTACAGCTCCACCGGAGACACACGTCGGAGGCTTCTTGAAGGCGGATGGTCTGGATCCTCTGTTCAAGAAGCTGCCTCTGCGGTCAATTCGGCTAGGGACGTGTTGCGACGCGCCGAGATTTCCGCCCAGGAAGCCACAACTGCAGCCGAGAAGACGGCCCACGCCGTCAAGGCACTTACCGAGTGGCGAGACGACTTGTGCTATTTGGACGGGGTCCGTCAAGCTTTGGCGCGTACGAACAAGAATACGTTTGTCGCCTACGAGAGTGTGCAAGATCTCTTGTTAACGAATGAGGGGAAGTAGGGCGATGGTGAACGAAGATGGTAACGGCGCTTTTTGGCAGATAGAATTTTAGGCGCGTAACGTTATGCTCATAGGAACCTAGGTGACCAAGTACTTGCGTAGGAACAGACGGATTCTAGTTATGGCAAAGAGACGTTCACTCGCGTTGAATGGTTGTTAATGGTGAGATGTCCAGATCCACCTGGTTAGCACAGGGTACTCAAGAACACGAATGCGCTTCCTTGGGCAATGCAGCACCGACGACGCAAAGTGATGATCTGGCTTGAATTATTACGGGGCTCGAGTCTGGATGGAAAAGAAGTAGCAGCATGGGCCCGTTCACGGGACTTTGCGGATGAAGAAGCGTTCTGGCCGTCCCCATCATAAACTCCGAGTCCTTGGTAGCACCCAGGGCAAACGGCGGGATCACCAGCTTCGTACTCGAACTGCCCAAGCAAACAAGTCGTCCACACAGGCTGCAGGCCAGTTTCTAGGCCCTCTACGGTCCGCGGAATCGTGAACTCGGGCAAACCGCCCATGCTGGCTATGACGTGGACGGACGGCTTCGTTTTCCGTGTCGTGAAAAGTCACAGTGACAGTTCAGCAGTGGGGTAAAGGCTACGAGAGAGAGTCGATCCTCAGATAGGGACATGGAAGATAAAGTATGGAATATACTCCCAGTCACGCCAACGTCATCAATAGCTACACGCTCCATAAGGCTCAGTGACGTGTCGGGTTCCTACACGTGAGCGTACTTGCGCCTAACATTGTATTTATACATGTAGCCGAGGTGGTTGTCAAGATAAGACACTGCGTAGATGAGCAGCGTAGTACAACAAGAACAAAAGGTCTACAGCAAGGGGTAATCTGTGTACATCCAAGTGTCGGCCCAGCTTGAGAGCCAGAAACCAGAGCATCTCTAGCGCAGCACCCAAGTCCATTCTATTAGATCTCTAAGTATATAATCACCATATCTGTGTCTTTGGGACTCTATTAGGCTGGAAAGTCTAGTCTAGTACTTATAAATGAATTCATCTTAGTCCTGTGTCGAAACGCCAGTTATTCAGAGATCAACACAATCTTGGCCGGGTGGTCTAGCTTTGTCTAGGTGACTATGACCTTGTTGTTGGGACGGGACCAGAGAATCGAAGCCGAGACAGAGGGCAGTAGCTCACCGTGTTATCTTCAACCGCCTGACTACGCAGCAGAATCAACAAGGCAGCAACAAGCTAGGAACAGTATCAGACCAGCTAGCTATAAAGTCTCTATTAGCATATTAATGATGATAGGAATGTCCAAGGTCCCAGTAGTGGTATAGCTTATGCTATGAGCTTTGGACATAATGGTTATTCGCCAGCCGGATGTCGTCACGTTTGGGAGTGCCCGACAACAGGAGACGACCTTATAGGATTGGGCCTTACACATCCTGTGCGCCTTGCAACTGAGCGACTACAGTTCGCCTCTCGGCCTAAATCTCAAGAATTTAGGCCAGGAGCATAGATAGCACAAGACCAAGGGCATCACGACAGTCTAGCGTAATCTCACCAAATGTATTAGATAGGATCTATTGGGTCGCCGGATAACAGAAGCAGATGCGACTTTTCCACTATCACCTGAGAGAGAGAGAGAGAGAGAGACAGAGAAAGAGAGAGACAGAGAGAAAGTTTGGCCCTGCAAAGTGTCTGCCTGTTAACGGCTAACGCTGGTAGCTCCGCGAACAGGTGGCCCGTAGAGCTCACATGTGGTCTGGACGGGCGCAGTGGCAACAGTGAACCTATTGGCGCCAAAACGGACAGCGACGATGAGCAAGCAATTTCCAACTTGCTGGGTCGAATTGCTTCACTAGGAGAACAGTGCCACATGTAGTACTTTCGAAAACTGTAGAGATAGAGAAGGCCGCAGCCTAGCGCATACTTTGGCCAACTGTGACGAATCCGATACAAAGTTGCATGGGACTTATTACTAACTGATGATGCATTTTCTACTTGGAATGTCCATAACCAAGGGGGGCAGATAAAGAACCCACCACCAGCACCTGCCGTCGAAAGGGTTGGCTTGTCATGGACTATTTACGTCAGCATTCTAGTTCATCAACTCATTACCAGAGGGTATCCATTTAAGCCCGAGCACTACCCTTGAGACTAGCGGCGAGAAGCCAACTTCTGGTATACGAATTGAGTTTATGTCAGGAAAAGGTGAGTTCTAGTCGCGTCTGAACTAAAGTGCAGTTGCAATTGATGGCTATCTGCGCACAGTGAACCGCCGATAGGCCCTGTCAGGCACTACCTGACCCCACGGCAAACAGTGCTCAGGTTGCAAGGAAACGAAACGCCCAGGATGTAGGAAGAGGTGCGCCGAGGAGATGACGGCAGTATGGAGACTCGCCGGTTATCGGGAGCTGTCAACCACCATGAATGTCAGCAAGACGTGACGGCCGAAAAAGAAAGAAAAATACGCACACATGACCAGCTGGACGGCTAGGTTCCATCCCGTCATACGCGTCTCTGCAGCGAAATGGGTTCCAATCTCACAGCCGAGGGCTAGCGTTCCCCAAATAGAGAGGCACCCGTTAGAATTAGCAGCAGCAGCCGCTTATTGAGCCAGTCAGCAGGCAGGTGTATTCCCGAGGTCTCGGCCCCTCGGGCAGCCGTGCTATATTTTGCGACGGGAAGTGCAGTCCTTAGCGGAAGCGTGGTAGCCGAACGCCTAGCCACCGTCAGCCAGTCATCGAGGCTTTAATGCGGATTAGTAGGAGGAAACAGGCGCATGAGAATGGGTTCGTGAGGGGTCGAGCTGCCGGCGTAGACGCGCCCACCCGCGATGAGCAAACATGATGAGGAATAGGGAATGGCGAGGTAACATCCAAGGCGCTTTGGGTCGAGGTGTCCGACTTGGCGACCCTGGCAGAGGCAAGAGCCCCGATGATAGTGGATATCTGGGCTGTTGGTGGGTTGCATCAAGGAAATGAAGCAGTTTGACGACTCAGGATGGATGTAAAGTGTGAATCCTGAGTTTGTGTTGGCAGCCGTTTCGTCCCGAACAAGGTATCCGTGGTGCCGTGTGAACAGAGTTGGCACCACCTCGGCCGAAGCCTTGGGGAGATGGATCGTGGAGTCGTGGGTGGCACTAAGCCAAGGAACGGGGGGTCAGGGACGACCAAGAAGCTTGGCACTAAGGACCCACGCGTTTTTTTTCCCGCTCCCAAGCAAGGCTCCAAAAAAGACCCCAGATTTCCTGTCAGCGACTCATCAGGCGCCATTGGTTCCCAAAATCAATCTTGCGTAGCTTATCGCGCAGCTAAGGGATGGCTCGGTGCTGACAGCAACACCAAAGCCCCTCTCATCATTCCTCCATTGGCAATGCCGGTTGCAACCGTACTTCGCCTCGTCAGCAAGCAGCACTTATCGGGGAGTTGGCGCGGATGATGAGAGCCGTGGCTGTGTGGCGGCGGCGGTAGCGGCAGTGGCAGCGGCAGAATGGAGTTGACAGGTGGACATAATCGTCTGCATGGTAATTAGGTAGTCTTCAGAGCCGCGGTTCCGTGCTCCTAGTCATGTCCGCAGTCATACTCGCCGCGGTCATGCCCACGCACCCGCTGACTGACGGGTTTCCGCAAGCTCCACTCGCGTCAGCAGGTGGAGCGGTGAAGGTTCCCGAAAGCAAGCGTTAGTGGGTGCGCAGTACGGATACGTGTACCATATTTAGCGCGAAATTAAACGAGGTGCCTCACGTGTCGTCACACGTGACGTGACCATGGATTGGACAACGGCAGTCTGCCAGGCCCTGCTAACCGGGTCCTTGCGATGGATTCACCATGATCCATCCGCTTTCGATCAAGCTACCTTCTCACTTTTGCAATGAATTCGAGGGCGACGACGGCCTTGGCCTTACGAGTCAACAACGAACTCCCTGTCGCACATGACATCGTTAATGTCTAGTGGGTTGGGAGTAAAAGCGGATTGAAATGGGCCAGGATGCAGTTAATGCAAGCCCTGTTTGCAATGTCTACTTCAAAAGCGGAGTAACGGAGAGCAGTTCTAAATTTTCTGCATTCTACTGAGCTAAATGCTCTGCCAGTCCTGGGCAGCCAACGCAAGCACAGCGGCCAACGCTTCAATCTGGGTATATACGAGAAATCGCGATTGGTCATCCAGGTTAACGACGACGACGACGAAATAATGTTGTTATTGAGACATATATGAAGTCACTTCCCGGCCATTTGCCGGCTGACAGGCGACCCAGGGTTCGCTTCCTCGTGTAGACGTAGGTCTTAGATCTCGTACGGTTTCCCCTCACTCTCCCAAGCCTACAGACACTTCCTGGTAGCCAAACGATGGCCCAGAATACGACCGTCCGGTTAGGCTTTTCCGTCCGACTCGGATTCCACGTCTGACTCTAGGATGTCTCCCATGATGCTGAACGCCTGCTCCTGGCTGGGGTGGAGATCGGCCAGAAGATCTTGGCATAGTTTGACGAGCTGCGCTATGACGGCGGTTATATGGCTACCTTGGTTTGTTTGTGACAGAGATGTACCTAGTGTTGCTACGATGGGATCTCTTCTGGCCGTATGCTGGAGTGTTCTGGGTGCGGCGGCGAGGGTGGAGGGTTGGCGGTTGGCGGTTCTGTCTGGGACAGAGAGCTTTTTGGGGCCTATGTGGACGGTAATGTACTGCGACTCTGGGAGGTGACCTTGGTCTAGGCGAACAGTTACAGCGTCAAGCGATGAAGACATGAATGGTCTGTTCGCGTAACTTTAAAAAGGGTTTGGTTGTATAGCAAAACATGTATTTAATTATAGTGGTACTGAGTTGGTTGGTACTCTGTCTGGCTGTTTGGGGATCCTTATTTAGGCCTTGAGCCATCTTTGTTTATTCTACCTCCCTAAATGACTTTTGGCCCTCTTAGCAGCTCTTTTAGACAAGACCTTTAAGCGACCAGAAGGCCATAGTTCGTGTTGTGTGTCCTCGACGTCTTATTAGGTTTGCCTGGCTGTGCTTTGCCTGGCTGAGGAACCGACCACCTTGTTCGCAAGCATCCCAAAGGGCTGGTTACGCCACACGTCTTCATAAGGAAGCAGTGGCCATTGACGAGGGTCTGAGAGGGATAACAACAAAGGATGAAGCGAAGAGCCCTGCAGCAACCGGCGAGAGGCATGCCTAGGCTACAAACGTCGTATAAAGGTTTTTTGCGGAGCCGCAAAGGAGGGTTTGTCTGCACAGCAAAAACATTGAATCATCTGTCTAGCCATTCGGGAATAGCCATTTGGACCATCTTTATCTATTCTTTCTCTCCGAGATTCCTTGGCTTGTGGGACTTTCAATCGACCGGATAACCGTCATGTTTACCCAGCCGCGCCTCGCTTCCTTCCTTGTTTACTACGCCCACGAAGCTCCTTCCTTGTTTCATACGCATACGGAGCTCCTTCCTCCAACTCTGGTTACGTCCTTTCTCATAATTATTTCTCGTCCTTCCACTTCACTTGCTGCCCTTTTTTCTTTTAGGCGGCAGCTTTTTTAGCATCATCATCTTACTCTGTTATCTTGAACCTGTCGCTTACCCGCCAACAATAGCATCCAACCGAGACACTCCTCAACGCGGCCGGCCGACTGGGCTCCAACACAGAGAGTGTGATGGCTTGCCCATCGAGCCCCCAGGTATACCCTCGGATGTATGAAAGGCGGATTTGCGAGCTGAGTGCTGACGCTTCATCGAATAGGCTCTTCGCCAATAACGAAGAGACCTCTCCACGAAGATGGTCCTACGACCCCGCAAGCGAAGCGGCCGCGGTCCGTCCCGTCGTCGGTTTCCTCGGCCGGCCTCGGCGCCAGCTTCCCCTCCCCGCTGATCCCGACACTGCCAGATGGCGTGACTCTACTCGACCGTGACTCGTTCTCGTTCCGAGTACCCCCAGACTATACCTCAGGCAGGTCCATCTAGAGCTTCGTGTCCGACGCCCCGTCCTGTGACTTGGCAAGAAGCATTAATCAGGACCCACTACTGTACGCTCGGCTCATGATCCGCAACGGCAGAGATGGCGCCGCGAATGAGTACAACGACATGATGCAAATTCTGCCTTTGCCGCCCGCATCAATCTTTATCTCGGAGCGCCTTGCGGTGGAATATAGTTGGGAGCAGTTCCAAGCCGTTCTATTCTTGGAGAACCTTGAGTTCAACAAGGCCACGGACACGATTTGTGCTGCACTCTACCACAACAAGCAAACCTAGTGAGAGGGCAAAGTTACTAACGGCGGTCAGTTCCGCATCGCTATACACCAGCTCCTTCGTTCTGCCTGAGGAGTCGTCGAGCAGTCAGACGCGGAAAGGGAGAATATCAAGGTCTTGTGGGAACTCAGAGACCGTGGTGCGTCGGGAGAGAACCTGGCCGTTGTCAAGGCGGCTAGACCCACATAGAAGCCGGCAATTCAAGGCTCCGAGAGCGAAGCCATCAGAGAAGTCAGTGCCGACGACGAGGATGCAGTACCGAAGCCTACAGAGGACCCAGACGATGAAATTGAAAGGGTGACCATCTCTTCAAACTCGGACTCAGAAGACGTCCAAGAAGAGGACGGGCCGCCGAAGGCCATGGCATCTGCAGACGGCCGTGAAGCGCCAGGGAGTGGCCAGGATATCGAGGACATGATGGAGATGAGAGACGATGAAGCCGGCTGGCGCCAGACCTGCGCGTTCTTCGGCCACGATGAGGGCAGCAGGACGATCGATACGTCCCATTGCCGAAAACTCTCCGGCACAAAATGAGCTCTCCGTCCTCACCAGATGTACGATGTCCACAGGGTCTTCCAGTCCGTCACTAACGGCACCAGATCTCAGTATGATTCTCGCGCACCAGATGGGGGTTAGCAAAACGATCACGTACCGATAACCTGTCGGATATAACATTGCTTTTTGCGCTGATCTGGAACAAGACAAGCAAGACCGCAGCCCAAGACCTCAGGACCCAACTGCGCAGAATCGATTCCACGCTCCGAACCGGCGCCTCCGACGTCGTCAAGGCCGAAGCGGCCACGGGCCTGCGGGGCATTCTTCAGCGGTCCAGCGATAGCGACGTCTTCGGCCACCCGATCGCGGTCAAGGGCGAGTCCGTGTTCGAGACGCGAGACTGCCCGGTCGACCAGACCTACGCGGAAGCCATCAGCACACTCACCCAGACCGTCGGCAAGTCCATACTCGAGAAGCTCCGGGACTCCCGCGCGCGCGAGCGCGACGGCAAGGAGCCCAAGGCCCGGCGACGGCGGATCTCGTCCTCATCAGGCAGGATAAACAACTGCGACGGTTGGATCTCGCCATCCACTTCCCCGGTCTCATTCTGGCATGGCGCAACGTGGACAACAACAACACCTCAATTCCAACGCGCGCTACAGAACTGTCGAAGGTGATCAGAAAGGGCCATAGGGAATTGCTACCCTGTACCTACTTGCACAAGGACATTGTCCCGCCAGCAATCTAGGACTATCTAGACCATATCCTGTTGCACTTGTCTCGCCTAGCCAAGCTGCATAAGATCTGCACCACAGCCAGGACAGACATAGACCCCTACCCGTAGGACACTAAGTGCTAGGATGGCTTCTAAGGGCTAAAGAACGTTCTTGTCTTTACCAAGTGGCCTATCCTTATGTATCTCATCTAGCTGTAGTTTAAGATATACACTAACTATAACTACTTTAAGTTGGCCCTAATCTACGCTAAACTAAATAGGGCTAAACAGTAAGAAGTTATAGACTAGTTCTATACATTTATAGTAGAGGGAGGTAAACTAAAGAGGTTTACTAAGGTACTTGTTATATACTATGGCCTATATAGCTAGGGCTTAGATAGCTTAAAAGTTACTAACTACTGTATATATTTTAGGGCTATTAAGGACAATAAAAAGTAGAACTAGGCCTTAAGCTATATTAATAGGTAGGGCTAGCCTTTTACCTCCTATATGTACTACCTTAAGTTATAGGAGTAGCCCCTTAATTAGCTAATAGTGTATATTTAAAACAGCTGCAAGAATCTATTTAGGGAAGACAGCCTACTTAGTAAGATTACTGCCTTTATAAGAGAATAGTCTAACGCTAGCTAAGACCTATAATAAGGAATAGGTAAGGCGCTAGTAGTAGAGTAGAAAGTAAACTATTATAGGTTTATACTAGCTACTTAGTTTTAGTACTATACTTATTAAGATGAGAATAAAGATAGTTATAGTTAAAAGTGCTTCTTATATATACCTTAAATTCCTTAATTATTACCTATTGCCTAGGCTCCTAGGACATTAAGGATAATATACTTACTAAGTAATAGCCTATAAATTATTTTAAGAAAGACCTTGTAATACTAGAATATAACTACACTAAAGGGACTTTAGGCTAATGTGCTTACTAGTAAGATATTAGTATTAGCTTAATAATAAAGGGAATTAATATAGAAACACTAGTCTTATAAATACACTACTGTTTACGTTTTTAATTAGTCTAAAAAATTATTATTAGTGTAATTAAATTCTACTAGACCTATA